TCTTAATACTCCCTTGTATTTGGCAAGATTTCTGTGGCAAAATAAGCCACAATTGTGTACATGCCTCTGTGTGTGTACATACATATTGGAAAGACTCTGATCTCTTCCATCAAAGTCTTATTTCTAAGGTTTCTCAAAGAGATAAATTTACCCTGATTTTTGGCATTCTTACATGGCTAACAAGGCAGAAGGCAGTCAGAAAGATATCTTTCAGAACAGTTTTAAAGGTGACACTCCTTGTTTATATCATAAAGGTAAATTAAATTTTATGCTGTGGTTAAGACTTATTGAAAAACCCCAAAAATCAACTGCAGTCCAGAATTAAAGCTTTCTAAATGGCGGATGTCAATCTCTCCTTTCAAAAATTTTGTGATTGTGTCAGCATCAAAGCAACTGAGAGCAGAAACAGGCCACTGCTTTTGCTGATGGTATTAGTCCTTCAGCAATAGCATTTCACATTGGTAACTTAATCTGCCTTGTAAAAATAAATCCAGAAAGATCACATCTGTCTGAAAAGCAATGTCATACTGCAAACCAGCAGGAATCACCTGCTGTTCTCTGGCAAATATTTCACATAATAGAGGAGCATCCTTTTTTTCCTCAGCGCTACCCACTGTCACCAAATGATTCCAACTCACCATTCCCACCTCTAAGTCTCCTTGGAAAGACTTCACCATGGATTCAGGAACACTCTCCAGTCAGTTTCCAGTTACTGTTTTCTACTACTTATGTACTTGGGGTAGGATTTTCTTGCTGATAAGAACAGGCAGGCTGAAAGCCCAGTGAAAATTGGAATGCAACTGATTTTAACTGGAAATATTCCTTCTAGACTGCCATCTTGTCCATCCTACCCTTCTAGTTTGTTTATTCAACTGATGCATCTTCTCCATGGAAAAACACTGAGATGCCTTGAGCTAGAACCATCTTACAGCAGTACAAACAGATATTTTTCAGTATGTATTTTGTAATGACTAAATAATGACTAATGACAAAAACAATACTGCCTGTCTGAACCACTGCTGAACAGTTTATCTGTGTGGGTATTTAAAGATTAAGAATTTCCATTAGTTTAAACCTGCAAGGAGGCTGTGCTTTCCACCAATACAAAAGCTTTTCCCCCCTGCAGCCACACATGATCATTCTTTCTCCCGCTGCCTAAGAATTATAGGTTAGGCTGAATGACAAGTGGAATAACTGGAGGAGACTGCATGTAATTCATAGAGCCACTGGTACTGAGATACCTTCTATAAGCTTGAAGAGGTTCACAGGTAATAAGTGAGCAAGATTAGACAAGATGAACCAGAAGGAAGACAGAAGAAAATAGTTCTGAGATCTTCTTTTCTACATACTGCCAATGCTATTTCAGCATAGTTTAGCTTTTCACATAAGATCACAATCTTCAGGCAAGAACATGTCAACACATAGCTACACATCTAGAAAAAAAAAATCATACTGTTAAGTCAGCCACTGCTGGATTAAAAAAAAAACTAGAAAAAGAACTGACAAAGAAAATCTTCAACACTACTATCATGAAAGACAGACAGTGAATCTTGGATAAGCTGGAAATATTATACAAATCATGATATTTCTCTAGGTTTGGATCATGACACTTCAATGCCCAGATTCCATTTCCCATATAGTTCTGACAGTCAAATTGTATTTTAACGGTGAGGAATACAAAAATCCCATTGCCTCTTGGGGTAGCCTTAAAAAAAAAAATGTACCAGGGAAAGGATGATCAGAGTGACTTCCTCAACTTTCAGCTGCTTTCAGTTCATAGGATTTCTTGAATTTGATGCAGTTTGTCCAGAAACCCTCCACAGATCTCTTGTCCACTATCTTATGTAACCTGTCCTTGAGCCCCCAAACTTTCCATCCACGACTGCCTTAAGCAAGGAGTTTCAGAGCCCTACTAGTAATTCTTTTAAAGGTTATTTCACTGTCTTGCACAGATTCCCAAGGAAAACTACTAAAACTACTTGTAACCTCCCTACATTGCAAGAAAGGGTCACTGATTTCTGCTCTCCTTGCTAACAAACACAGCAGTTTGTTTCACATCCACGTGCTTTCAAAAAGATCCTGTATTATTTGAAGTTTGACTTCTCTTTAACATCCAGCCTTGACCACAAATACTGCTGTATCACAGCTTTCAGTTGAAACTTGCTTACTTTTGAACCACATGTTCTAACTATCATTTTCTTGCTATTGAATTTAATTTCATCAGTGCTAGACACATCCAGCTTCTGGCTATGCCACTGCTATAAATCAGTCCCCAGTCTCAAAATCAAAATCCCTAAAAATATTTGAGTACCAAACAACTTGGCATAACAAACACCAGTATGTTTTTCCCACAGACTGGTAGCCTGTATTTTGTGTTTTCCTACCGATTTTCTGATACAGAGCTATCCTGGAATGTACCTACCGAGGTCAGTTTCCTGGGAAAAAAAAAGATTCTCCAACAAACTGACACTTGTAACTTCAGTTACCAGCGACAGTTTGTCCACAGGATTAGTTTCAGTTACTCATCTAAGCTTATTGTTTACTAAAATTTACAGGAAGGTGATAAATATAATTTGTTTTGGCTAACCAAGATCTCAAATTTAGTCATTGTAAAATTTTATTTTTATTAATTACCATTTCAGAAAGCTGTCATGATTAAAAGATTGGTTCTTTTCTCTTTTTAACTCTACTGATGGACAAGGCTATGCAGGTTGAAAGACAGTAGCAGGAGACTTGAGGAGAGGAGTACAAACAGCAGCAGCTTGGGCCTATGCAAGTCTGCCTTACTGAGATGAAAAAAAGCCATAGCATCCCCCAGCTCATCAAAAATACATATCAACATGTCTATGTGATAATTTTAACATATAAGACCAAAAAAATGCATTTAAATAAAGCCTATCTTTAACACAATTTACAAAAAGAACATGAGTTGGTTTTCTATCATAGTAATCCACATCGTAGTGACAATCTCTGTATCTATCTAGAAGAGATTCTTGAGAGTCCAGCTTAAAATACACAGTGTTATTAAGTAAAGAGAAACCAGGACTTTCAGTTCTCCCTTGATGCTTCCCCTGTGCTGTGTGTGTCACCAGCCACCCAGGCTGATTAGCCTAAAAGCACAGAACTTCTTTGGCTTCAGGGAATAAATTATTTGCAATTTAAGGGTTATTCCTGATTTATACTTGTTCAACCACCTCATCAAAGTAAATCCTTATCAGCCATTTCCTCTGGCTAAGAAGCCAAGCCTCCCTGCAGTGAAAGCCTTGCCAACATTGGCCACACTTCGTCGATCGAGGCCATTAAAATGCACTCTGCAGAGGAGGACCTCAGCTCAGCACAAAGTGCTCATGCAAAAAGTCATTTTACTCAGAACTTGTGACATCAGTTCCCCATGTGACCAGGGTTAAGCACTCCCACCCTGAGAAGACTTCCTTCCATTACTTTAGGATATTATCAGCAGAACTGCTGCAGCTGGATCCTCCTTTTAGGACAGCAAAGAGCTGGTGAGCAAAGTTCAGATCTCTGCAAATCCAGCTACTTTTAAACGAGGAGGAAACAACATTCTCAGAAAGTCTTCCAAAATGCACCTATCATAGCAGTTTAAGAGTGAGCTGGAATATGTGTCCCAAAGCTATGAAGACCTGTCTTGCCTAGCTAAACTTCAACTTTGGGCTAATTATTTTAATGCTGTTGGGATTTTACTGTAACATACATGTGTTCAGGTATCCAGAGATTTACATAAGCTATTTTTTATTGCTCCAATTGAAACACAATACAGGATTTTAAACCTAATTATCGAAAGCGCCATTAGTATTTTGATCTCCTTAGTGTTCCTGTTGGCATGGAACTTAACCCTGCCTGAAAGCCTCTAATTAAGAAGATGGTGCTGCTGTTTACACTTCCAAATAGTGGCTAGAAGAGAACACCACAACCACTGCTCTAACTGGCTACCTTCAGTTAGAAGAGTTCCTTCAACTCTTGTCCATTTTGAGACACCAACACTTTCTAACAATTTCAGGCAAGCAGTGTTCATCTGAAGATTGATGGCACGATGGTTTTTTATCCAGAGAGCCCGTGCCAACACATCTTACTAACTGGTTTATTCCAAATAACCAATCCCTCTTAAAGGATGATCAGGTCCAAAAGTAATGGATTTTACTCCAATAAGCTTTTACATGAACAGTTCCATTAAACAGGATTACTCATTAGTATAACAATAAATTAAATGAGATCATTATGTTAATTGAGACATTTATTTTTCCTGTATTCATATACAGGAAATTATTACTTCAGTTCAAAAACACGAGGTGTTATAGAGGTCAAAAATATCAAACATAGAAGTCTTCTAAACCTGAAACATTTCTACAGTTTCCACAGCTTTACAGTTAGAAGACCATACTGGGCAGTTTTTGGAGCCCAAACACTGATATTTCTATAACGAAAAGTACTGTCCATGAGGAAAAATTAAACTTTGACTTTAAAATCAATTTTTCTACACTAAGTTGTAATTCACATAAATCCTTGACATTTAGGTAGCTGGTTATTACTAATGTTCATTTGTTAGGCAATCACTCTTCAGCTTGGAGGCATTTAATTCAAAATGGGCCTGAGTTATGTGATCATTATACACATGAGAAAACATCTGGCAATTTTCAGTCAGTATCACCAAACAACGTAAATATTTACTGCCGCACACTAACCCGATGAAGAGGTTTTTATTTCTGATTTCCTCAAACACAAAATTTTAAAAGTTTCAGAGAATATGTAAAGTGGTTCTCAATTACAAAAATGTAACAAATGAGACCTTACGTCCAACTTCACTTCGTTTTTAATACCTTCATAACCTCTGCATCAAACTGAGGCTCAAAGCCCACAGACACTAAACCCAAACCTGCTAAAAAACCAAAGTATAGACCCTTCAAGTTGAACTAAACCCCCTGAGAAGTGGTTAACAGCTTTACACGGTGTACCAGATGGAGAACCAGATCGACAATCCTTACCTTAATTTGTTGTCTGGCCTGGACACTAACGCTCTGCTACAGCACAAAGTTCCCATGCAGTTTTGCTTTCTTTAACCGAAGATAAACAGCTCGACCTCCTCCAGCTCAAAGTTAAAGGCTGAGGTTGCCTACGTTTCATTGTGTGCCAAAGTACATCTGACAGAACGCGATGTGAACAGCAGGCTCTGGGTGACGAAAGCAGAGTCTCAGTGTCATTAAAGCGAAATCACCACAACGTACACAACCTAAACAGCTAAACTGGATACTCCACCATTATTATTATTATTATTTTCCACCATTACTATCCTTTTTTTTTTTCGCTGTTGTCATTGAACAACCACACACTGGGTACTTTTGCTCATTCCCCTTTTCGGAGACGCAAAACCTCGAGATACACAACCTCGAGCCACCAGACCTTGGAGGCTCGCAGCAGCTGTTTCCGCAGGTGCATGTCACCCCACACGCATCCAATTAAAGGACGCACAAACCTGCGCAGGGCCGGCACCGAGAGCGCTCCCCGGGCCCGCCGGGACACCCAGCGGGCCGTGACACCCAGCGGGCCGTGACACCCAGCGGGCCGTGACACCCAGTGGGCCGGGGGCGAGCGCTGCGGCCGCGGGGACGCGCATGAGGGGACGTGCAGGGGGGGACGCGCAGGGGGGGACGCGCAGGGGGGAACGCGCAGGGGGGGACGCGCAGGAGGCCGCCCCGCCCGCCCCCGCCCTTCCCCAGCCCCCCGCGGCCGCCGCTGCCGCAGCATCCTCGGCCCGGCCGTGACCCCCGCAGCGCAGCAGGGCAGCGGCCGCGTCCCGCAGGTCGGTGAGGGGCCAGCCTCGCACTCACCGCCTCCCCGCCGCCTCCTCGGGCAGGGCCGCTCCGCGCCCCGATGCCGCCGGCCCCGCCCGGCCCGGCCCGCGCTGGGAGGGGCGCAGGGAGGCGGGGACACGCAGCCGCCCCTCGGCCCGCCCTGACGTCAGCGCGGCCGCCCCGCCCCGCCCATGGCCGCTGAGCCCCTCAGCCCGCCTGGCACCCGGGCAGCGCCCGCCGGACTCGTGTGCCAGCCCGCCCGAGCCATTACCGAGCCCGCCGGCACGGCCGAGGGCAAACGAGAGGGCCTGCGGGTGTGCCGGCCCTGCGGCAGGGAATCATCGAGTCATCGGGGCTGGAAGAGACCTTTAAGGTCGTCGAGTCCGACCGTCAGCCCAGAACTGCCGCTGTGACCCCTAAAACACTAAACCACGTCACCCAGACCTTTGCTAATAACAGCAAGGTTGTGGGTTTGATCCCCTCACGGGCCATTCATTTAGGAGCTGGACTCGATGATCTCTGTGGGTCCCTTCCAACTCAGAATATTCTGAGAAACCTCCAGGGATGGTGATGCCACCACCTCCCTGGGCAACTATTCCAGTGCCCGACCACGCAAACAGTGAATTTTTTTTTTTCTAATATGTAACCTTAATCTCCCCTATCTCGGTTTAAGGCCATTTCCTCTTGTCTCACTGCAGCAGAAGAGACCGGCCCCCACCTCACTGCAACCTCCTATCAGGTGGTTGTGAAGAGCGATGAGGTCCCCCCTGAGCCTCCTCTTCTTGAGACTAAACAACCTCAGCTCCCTTAGCCCTTCCTCACAAGACGTGTTTTTAAACCTTTCACGTGCCTTGTTGTCCTTTACTGGACTCATTCCAGGACCTCAATGTCCTTTTAAAGTGAGGAGCCCAAAGCTGAACTCAGCGCTCAAGGTGCAGCCTCAGCAACGCCAAGCACAGGGGAATGATTAGTGCCCTGGTCCTCCTGCCCACACTACAACAGAGAGCACTGGCAGGGGAAAGGCCTCACAGATGACTCAGCTACATGGAAATCCCGATGGACTCTTGCAGCCAACCACGGAAGACCAGGCTTTTTCCATACTGGTGCTCACAGAATGAGCTGAGACTTCAATTTCCTTGAATTTTCTGCCTGTGCTGGGAATTAGAAGGCACTGACAGAAGGTTCAGGAAGTTCCATGCTGGTGGTTACATTAGATGGATCAGGGTGGTTTCACTGAATCACTATTTACACTCCACTGGGGCTTGTATTTCTGCATCTCCCCCAGTTTTGGACCTTCATGTTGTCACAGCATTTCAGCATCTGTATCACTGTGCTTCAACTTCAGGGATTCAAAGTTTCTTCTCTTTCAAAAGCTTTTCTCTCAAAAATTTGCATAAGTTTTTACCTGCCTGCTTCTCCAGGCCTCCCAGAAGGGAGGAAGACGAGCAGTAGCTTCAAGCTACATCTGTGCAAGAAAAAAAACAACACCCTGTAATTGATAAGCATCGTTCACCACAGCCTCCTCACTAGAAATTGGGCACATGTCAGCACAGGCACTGCAAGTGCCTCCTCATCTTTCTAGACACAGGGCATGAAGACACCAGTACATTTGTCCCATAGGCAGCAGAAAGACCTTTTAGAAAAAACAAGGAACAAGAACTGAAGCTTTTGTATGTCTTTTTGCCTAAACTTAAGTGTACCAGCCACATTAATGCATTTATTCTTAGAACAGTCTGAAGCATAATGACTCCCCTGTGGTACAGGAAGGAGAAAAAAAAAAAAGGCAACCAGAGAGATTAAATCTCTTGCTCAAAGCCGAAGAGATAGCAAACCAGGAAATGAACTCAGATTTCCTCAGTCGGGCATCAGTGCTTTAACCACACAACCATCCTGTCTTGCAGTCCTTCTCAGCTTCTGAGCATCAACTGCACTAGTGTAGGTTTGATTTTTCCCTACTTTGTTCATCAAAACGGCTTCACTGTTCCCACTGAAATTTCCTCCAACTAACTTTCTTCTCTATTTCCTTCCCAAAAGTAAAAGCAATTATATTACAGACTCACTTAGGGGGTGAAATGATATTACAGACTAACTAGGAGTCTTAAATTTCCCACTGCCTTTCTGTAGGCACTGGCAGGTGTTTCTTCAATGCCAACACTTGAACATCAGCTCACAAAGTAATTGAGCAGCTTCCATGGTGCGTCTCTGAGGCAGGTACCCAAAGGCACAGTGGAGGAGATCAAGGAACAAAGATCAGGGAACTGGGAACAGTTGTAACTAGCGCAGAGGAGGCACATAAGCTGTGTGTGCTGACCTGGAAGTGGTGGTATAACTCATACTTTTATTATCTGGAAATTATTATGAAACAGAACTCTGAAAGCAAAGTAGATCCATAAAAGAAGAAAACACCTAGAGATATTTTAGGACAGATTTGAGAACCTCCTCTATTTGTTTAGAGACGTAACAGATTTTCACGTGTTTATGCAGGCTCTTCAGATTAAGATCCAGTCTTGAAGCAGAATTCATAGTTTTTGAAAATTAACTTCAAAAAAGGGAAGCATTACATACACAACTCCAGCCTCTGACTCAGAAGATAGTGTTAACCCTCTACTGACAGACTGCAAACTGAGATCTAGCTATGATCAAGTGCAGTATCTTTTCTTGCCAGTTTAATATTTGATGTCTTCAGCTTGAGGTCTTCACCTTGCATTGATTTTATATTGAATTGATTTAAATGGACCTTATATTACGCTGGGAGATGGACTAGAAGCTTATTATCCCCTTCACTCACTGGCACTGTGCTTCTTCCAAAACCCAGAGACAGAGCAGTGGGTAACACCAAGCACCAACCACACCAGCTGCACTGCTGGATATGCAGTTAGTGATGTTCACATAAATATTCTCCTTGGGGGTCTAGGTGGACTTTTGATTAAATATATGACAGTACATGAAGTTGGTTAGGGGTTGAAATTGTTCATTTCAAAATGCCTCGATTCTGTAAAATTTATTCATCCACAAGTATCAAACAATGAACTGTCAGCTGCCTTCTTAACCTTGTCTCTACCAATAATTCTTTCATTAAGGAATACATCCTTTATATTTTCCAAGTTTAATTTTGACACTAAGGAGTCACTGTCTCCAGACTTACCTATTTAGTTTTCAACTTCTTGTACTTTTTAAACTAGACAGGTAACTTCATTTTTGTACTACCTTAAAAATTATGTACTAAAATTTATATTTCAAGTTGATGAACTTGTTTGCTGAGATAATAAAAAAGGAAAACAATGGGCTAATGTCACAGGCAGAAATACTTACATGAGTGTGTTCAGATGTGCGTGTATGTATTATTTATATGTATGGTGTCCACAGGTAACTAAACTTTGTACCATTCTGCAATAAATAATTGTATAAGAATAAAATAATTAATAGGAAATTCTTCTTGGTGCAAGTTGAGGTCTTTTTAGTGGTTCCCCATCACTGCATCTTCTTTTGTGTACATATGGGAAAACACAGAGATGAGCTCAAACTCATTTGGCTGAAATACATATTCACCTTGTTGTATTTAAGACTAAGTCATTTATTTTTCTTAGCCTTGAAAAATAATCCAAATTAGTTAATTGAACATTTGATATCTTTTCAGGCCTTAGTGCTATCTACCACTTGCTAAATATTTGGGTAATATTTAAAGAGGGTACTATTTAAATGAAGAATTGTTCATTGACAGTTGACAGCTGCTTTGTTATTTAAATAATTGGCTCAGATGTCTACCTTGGATGTGCAAAGGCAGTGTTGTTATATCCGTGAGTTTGGTGAGTGAATGATGAACTGAGCCTTCTTATCCTTCTCACACTGGGAAAAACAGGGAATTTATGCCGGCCTAAACTGCTTTTATTCTTCAGTGGCGCTGCAGCAGAAGAAGCCTGGACCAGTTCAGTAAAATCTGCCATTGAAACCTTAGGCAATCTTTACACCTTGCTGCTTCTGTGCCCTTTCTTCTAGGGGCTGACCATGCATAATGTTTCAAAACATTACTTTAGTCTAAGTAATTTAGACCTACTTAGATCTAAATTATGTAAACGGAATGGTTAAACTATTTAAGAAGTCTAGTTAAAGCTGCTTCTAAAATACAGGTATTTTTTTGCTCCACGTCTTCAGAGGCCACACTCCAACCTTTCCAAACACAGAAATGCTTTTCTAGGCAGTGAGTAAGATCACGTTGCACATTTCTAAAATCCAAATGCTCTGTCTTTCATTTATTTTTAAAGCAGAAAATGCTTCTTGGTCTCTAACTGTTAAAACAAATTAGGGTATTATATATTTCATGTAAGTCTGATAAGGCTTCTTCTTTATGTGTCATTGCAACTTAATTTGCATTCACATACGCTAAAGGGCCAGAGGAATACAAATACCTAAAATTTCCATTATTCATTTCCATTATTTTTGAGGATTCTGAAATGTAAGTAAAACCTCTTCTTTCAGCTTGATTTACAGCTGTGGAAATTATTTCCTTCTGTGTAATTAGAAAATATTCTAAATCAGGCCAGATAAAAATTTTTATTGCATTTTGTTACTGAAAGCTTGGCTGATAATCTCAGAACTCAAAAAATAGCCTTTTAGTAGCGACATTGCTAAGGGAATTTATCTAGTGTGTTTGTGATTTTTTTCTTTGTCTGTGAATTCATTCAGGTGCACAACAAATAACATACTTATGTTACCAGTAATGGCCTCCAAATTTAACAGAATAAGAAAAGTTGACTGGAATTCCATAAAATCTTAGTAGAATTCAGTAGAAACCATGAAAATATATTTGGGATTGTATGGCTTATTTTTATATAAACATTGTTAAAAAGGATCCTGTTTTAAATGAATGCTAATCCTTACCTGGCTAATGTGGATAATTTGTGGGTTTGCTAATTTCATTATTTAATAACAATTTAAATACTACAATCCTTAAAATGTTTAATGAAGATGAAATGAAACCTTTCCTGTTTGTATAGCCAGTGCCCTCCATTTTCAATATCATTACATTTTTTAATCCTGAGATTTGCAGAACTAGTGATCTACTTATAATCAGCACAGACCACAGTGGATAGCGGAGC